GTGTATTCCTCTGTGACGGAGTTACTTTCTCCAGGGGCCCAATCTGTTGAAAAGGTTTCATTTTTCATCTCATCTTCACATGCAGTAGTTGGGTCTATATACCCTATAAAATGTTACATTTGCTCCATATTAATAGAGCCCAACCATTCTGCTCACTCACCCCATAGACAGAGGGATGCCTGCACTGTGATGTAACCATACACAGATGTTATCCTTGCCATTAAAATAGCTTTATTAAAATGCAAGATGGGCTGAATGAGGCAGGAACGTGAGGGATGTGACAACATGTGAGGAGACCTCTGCTTCCACTTACTCCAGGACAAAGAGAAGCCAAGAGAGGAAGAAGAGCGGGAAGAAAGAAGATTGTAGCTATACTGCTTGCTGCTTATTTTAGCTTGTATTTATGGAATTGATTACAGTGATCTCTCTGTTTTTAATGCTCACTCTGGCATTTCGTTGATAAGAGGGAGTAGTCTGCGAACAATATGAGAAATTCCAAACACACACATAGCCTATTAGATCTACAATGAAGTCTGACTTTAACGGCTGGTTAACAAAGGCAGTATGGATTAGAACGGCTGGCACACGAAGCGCAACTCAGTGTAAATGTGTGTCTGGTTAGCTTTCCCGACAGACTCAGCCTGACTGTGAAGAACTTGCCATTTGGCAATTCATTAGCATAGGAAAATCACAGTGGCTTCAAAATCAGCTGTTGGAGCCACTTAGCCCAGAAATCATGACATCTCTTGATTAAAAAACGAAAACAAAAAACACAGACAAAATGAACAGCCTGCTTCAAAACAAAGCCTGGACGTTCTCCCATGCTTGATCAAAAGATTAGAATAAAAAACACAACAAAATACAGGGTGGCTAAATACCCCTGCACCCCCACCCACAACACTGATTAAATTAGACGCAATTTAACAAAACTAAATATCTTTGTCCTTCTCCCAGAAAAACAAATCTGAAAGGCACTGAAAGAACAGCCAGATGAACTTCAGAGGAACGCAGAGGGCTGAGCTCTCTTGCTGGAAGGGGGGGCAGGGAGGGGTGGGGGGTGGTCGTTACCTTGCTGGTTGGAGAGGGGCAGGGTGTACATGGAGTGCGACGATGAGTTGCGTCCGGCTGGCGCGACCTCCTTCCGGCCGGCGGCGGGCTTCTGCGGAGAGGGGGCGGGCAGATGACAGAACTTCCCCGTGGAGTTCGATGGGCACCAGCACTGGTCCCTTCCAATGCAGCGCCCCCCGTTCATGCAGGGAAGCTGACAGAAGACTGCGGGGGGAGAAGGCAGGCTCCAGTCATTAGCGGCAGTGAGCGTGTGAGAGACTGGCCTCTAATTGACTTGATTTATGCATCTTCACATTCAGCAGAGTGGGGGCTTGTGGGGGTACACCGGCAGGGGCCGTACAGCTAATGAGAAACAGCGAAAAGTCACAGAGGAGGAAGTAATGATGTTTAACGTGGAGGGCCTGCTTTCCAGTGGGGTGCTCCAATGTCCTGTGGTCCACACCCCCCACACTTTACCCTTAATACCAGCCCAGTCTTTGAAACTGCTTTATGAAACATGACCTTCGCCCTCTGGGTAAGGCCTCCGATAGTGTCCCTCTTATTAGAAACAAGCCCACCCCCACCTTTACTGTGACCTTAACCTTGACTCCCTCCCCACCCACTGACTTCTAACTACTAAATGCATGTACACAACCCTTGTCCACCCTATGGGCTGATTGACACGCAACTATCATAATAAATGCAGCCTCAATTATTTAAGATTTATGCCTGCTTCCTTTTTTGTGGGATCCTGGTCGCTTGCAGTGGATGACACAGCCTGTTCCATACTTAAGCCAGAGAGCTTAGCCTGCACTTGGAACAAACAAACTGCCTGAACCACCCCAGAGATCTTATGACTGCTTTATTGGATACTAAGAAAGAAAATGGATTCTTGAAAAAAAACAATCCATCACTAGTCAAACCACTGGATATTTAACTGCAAACTTGAACTTAGGCTGATAGAAACCATTGGTCCGATTTCTTTTTCAACTCAGAAGATTGATTCCCTCTCAAAGGCTTTTATCTTTGCACAGATTGCAATTTATTGCTTAAAATCTTGATAAAAAAATAAATGGCAGAAGTATTGATGCCCCATAGAGAGAAGTTAGCAGGTGGTGCCTGACTGTACGGTTGTGCAGGCTTCAAAATCCACTTATCTTTTTGGCAGAAGTGCCAGTGCCCTACATACCTGGGACCATGATCTATAGAACACCTCAGTCTTAACCTGTTTCCAGTTCAGCTTCAAAGGCTGCAAAATGAAAAAGCTACAGAGGCTGAAAGTAAGAGGTAACACTTTATGGGCACAGAGAATCAGCTGGTCAGGCTACAACACGTCTGCATCAGAAGGCATTCTTTATTGGGGCACCTTCATATCTAAGCCCGAGTTGAGGCGGGTGTCTTTCTCTCTGTAAAGGAGGGATGTAGAAAGGAAAAGCTGCAGCCGCGCACACGGGCTGTGGGGATTCTGTCGAAGCCCAGGGGACGCGATCGCCGTGCGAGTCTCGGGGCTCACCAGTGGAACAGGAACAGGGGCGGGAGAGCTCTGAGTCCTGCTGGCATGCGAGGAATGAGGCCTCTGTCAGACGGCATTACTGACGACGACCCCGGGTCTGCCTCGCGGCGGGGAGGCGCGACACGGCACGGCCCTGTCCGAATTTCTCCCTCGGCCCCCTCGCGGCCCCGGGACACGGGCGGTCCAGCCGCTGCCCCTGGAGCCGGCGCCCCGGCCCACAGGAAGCACCCCAGTGATTACAGACGGCCATTAATTCCTCCCAAAGCTGGGAAGCAGACCCGCGCCGGGCCGTTTCCCCCTCTCCCAGCCTGAGAATGTGGCACAGGAGCTATTATTAGGCCGCAGCCCCTGTGAAGTACCAGGAGGCAAGCCAAGCGGGCTGGTGGATCAGTCTCAGCAGTGGCACTGAGGGCCTGTGTGAGCGTTTTTTAAAGATCTCACTGCGCTTTCTAAACTGGGCTCTGTGGTAGACGTATGCCATGTTTCGGGCTTGGAGTAAGAGTGCACTGTAAATACTGGAAACCCTACACTGGATTTATGATATTTTGCTCTGCTCTGAGAGCAAATCAAGACTGTGAGAAGTTTGAACATTTATTACCCTGAATGAGAGCAACATCAACAAAATGTGCATGTTTGGTGGTGGAGCAGCTTGACAGTCATAAAAAATATCTTTAAAAATAATACACATAAAAATACATTGAACAGCTTTTCAGAGACATTGCAGAGACCCACAGCTACATAGATACATATGAAATAGCCACCGCCAAATCATTGAAGTGTTTCAAGCGTTTGGCATATGTTCCAAAAGCCCATTAATGGGCGGATAAATCCAAAAAAAAAACATTTAGCCATTTCATTACTCATTCTCATTATTCTTAAACATGTATAGCAGAGAGCTACGATGTGTGTGGCGTGAGCACCCTGCTTCCATAATCAGTTTCGGTGAGAACCGAGCTTTAGCTCCTACATGGGGGTTCAAACTCTCACACACAGGAAACAATGCGCCCTCTCTGGCATTGTTACCTCCCCTGCCTGAAGACCACTTCCCTGTGCGGTTTATGGCAAAGCCCGCAGATTAATCCACGCTTTACTGTAATCCCCATTAATCCCCGTTCACACCGCAGCCCTCCCTCCCGGCTGCCCCAGCGCATTAAACGGTTAATCGGACCACTCAGGGAGAGGCGCGAAGTGCGAGGAGACGGGGCGAAGCACGGGGAGCGTGAGAGAGCGCTAAGTCCATGTGTGCGGTTCGTGCGGTCCCCTTTTTCTGAGCAGCGCTTCTTAAAAAAAAAAGGAGCCGTTTTTAATCCTTTCCATCTCTGTAACAGAGTTTTTCACACAACGTTCACTCGTGGTCAAACTTTGGCAGCTTGGCGTCTATCTTTCTGATATTTACATTACAGCAGAACTAGAGCCAATCTTGACAAGCAAGCAGATATATCAGTTCATTCTGGATGCATGGCGTGCATGAAAAAAGCAACCCCCCCTTCAGAGAGGAGGAAGAGGAGCGCGGAACAGCAACAGAAAACGAACGCAGATTGGGGCCGGGGGGGGGTGGGTGTGGAAGGAGCGGCACTTACAGAGGCGGAAGCCCTGAGACTTGGGCGTCTGGTTCTGGTTCTCGCTGTAGATGGTGGTGGTGTCCCCCTTCTCGCAGCTGTTGAAGCAGCGGCCGCCGCTGCACGTCCGCCGGCACACCATGGGGGTGAAGACGATCTTGATGCGGTCCAGGCTGGAGGTGAGGTTGGCCCCTGCGGCGGAGACGAGGAGCTGGGTGAGGAGGAGCAGCGACAGGCAGGAGCCGGGCTGCATGGTCGGGGGCGGCGGGAAGGCTCCTTGTCGGGGAGCAGGCTCGCGAGAGAGTGGCGGCGCCCGGGGCAGCGCACACGGGAGGGGAGGACGTGTCACAGGTTTGGGAAGGCAGGGGCGGAGAGGATCCAGATGACAATCGGGCCGCCCTCCAAAGCCCTTATCATTAGTGTGAGGTGTACGAAAGGGAGGGGGAAGTTGCGTAATGGTGGGAACCTAGTCAACTCGCATTGCCATGGTAGGAAAGAAAAAAGGAACTTGGACATGCGACAGATTTTATTAATGGCTCTGAGGATCTGAGGGGAGAGAGGATGGTAATTAAGAATCGGTATTGCTAGACATCTCTGTCAGGCTGTATGCAGCCCTGAGCTGAGGTGCCAGTGATGGCAGCCAGCGGCTGGCGGTGCCCTGTGATTGCACACTGACGTGGGCATCCATCCAGTGTGTAATGCAGAACCTCTGCCGTCCCTCCAAGCCCAAAATAAGAAGCGCCTGTCATTACACTACATTATTGTCATTTAGCAGATGCTCTTATCCAGAGAGAGAGACTTACAGAGTTTACAGTTTTATCCATTTACGCAGCTGGATATTTACTGAGCCGGCTGTGGGTTAAGTACCTTGCCCAAGAGAACAACAGCAGCAAGGAATCGAACCAGCAACCTTTCGGTTACTAGCCCTGCTCCTTACCACTACAGCATACAGCTGTCATTCCTATTATCATCATATTATTATTTGCCAGGGAGATGCCCTCATCCAACAAATAAGAACTTACATTTGACATGTCGCCTGTGTCTGGGATGGGATGTTTGGTGAAGTGATCCAGGTTACCAGGCCCTGCTGATGGGGCAGGGTAATAATGTCCTATGTGGGATTCGCAACAGCAACCACTTGATTTCAAGTCAAGGTCCCTATCTGCTACACCACACTGCTCCCCCAACGTAATGCTGTAATACCTCTATTGTAACGCAATCCTAAAGCCGACTGTGGGGCCTGGGCTGGAGCCAGCTGAGCTGGAGACTTTTTTATCTAATGTTCCATTCATCCGAGGACTGTGTGCGTATATGTGTGTCTGTGTGTGCGCACGCATCTGTATGTGTGTGTGGGTGTGTGTGTGAGGGCGCGGGCTGTGCTGGATAACTGAACCCAGCTAAGCCCCGGGGTGAGAGGCTGGGGAGGACTTGGCGAGGCGGAGATCAGATCAAAGGGAGCCCATAAAAGCTCAGCAATCTTTCATTATCTCCTCCTATCCTGCAAAAGGCTGTGCACAATGCACACAATATGCAGCCACTTCCAGCGTCTGGAAGGGCTCTTTCACGCCGCATCTAAATGTAGCGGTAAGTTTTTCTGCTCTTAACACTGTCAAATTCACTAGAGGTGTGGTCACAACTGGTAGCAACATCTGTAGCTTCAGCCTCTCTAGAAACATGTGGTGAAAATGGTGGTAAGTATGGCTTAGTGCTGTAATAACGATGGTCATCTGTGTGTTTGGGAAACGTGACTGACTGCTGTAAAGCACTCTCTGGTGTGCTTTGTAATAAATATGCTGGTTCTCCAATTTTTTTGTGCTTTGTTTTTGCTGACGTGAATATTGGATACTTTACACTGGATCACTAGCAGCAAAGAGAGCCCTTGTGTGTGAGAGGCAGCTAACAAACAAAAGTGTTTATTTGGGATTTGAAAAGATCTTAACTGAAACTATGAATGACTAGCCAACATGAAAAAACCCAGCCTGTTTTGTAAGGCAAGAACAAGCAAAAAATGTATTTTCCACTGTCTGCTTTATCTATAAATGCACACTTAATTGTAGAATTAAGCTATAAAGAGGTCAAAGTGTGGAACAGTGGAACAGATGCAGTAATAAAGACACCAAGCAGCTCTGTGATTGCATTGTGTTAAGATGCGCTACGATGAGCGTGACATAGTGAAAGAATGAAAAAGCAGCTTGCAGATTCTGTATCTGTCTGTATCATCCATATTGGTCACACACACACAGCTTGCTTTAATATAGCTCTCCTGGCTGCCTGATATGAAGAGAATTCTGTACTTCATACAGACTGGGAGCATCACTCACTCCTGTAATAGGTGTGCATGCCAACAAATGCACAGCAGTCCTAAATGGGCAAAAAAGGTAGGTGTATGTGTGTGTGTGTGCGCGCGCGCTTGTGTGTGCATGTGCATGTGTGCGTATGTCTGTGTGTGAGAATCCCCCTTAAAAAGAGAAGAAATGCGACCTCACTTGTTTTTAGTTGTGGGTACAATCTTTTTTGTATCAATGGTGTACATTTCTGAGAAATGGGTCAGTACCTATTGGGGCAACAGCATTGTTGAGATTCTCAGCCCCCTGACCGTTGACAGCAGGCCTCTGGTTGCCACGTGAATGCCCGTTCCCGTTCCCATTGGGCAGCGCGTTGGAGGTGATAGGCCAGTTGGACGACGGGTAGCGCTTGACGGTCCGGGACGTCCCTGCGTGCTGGGGGGAGGTGTCAGCTGGCCCCCGTCTCACCTGGGTCCTGTGGAGGACACAAACCGAGACTCTCACCAAACCGCCTTCTTCTGCTGGCTTCCCATATCGTTTGGCATTCTGCAATACATACTGTATGATATGCACTTATCACTGTCCAAACCCACACAATGACTCAATGTGTCTACTGTAAGTGAAAGAACATGAATGAAAACCATTTTCTCTTAGGTCATGACACTGGCTAATTGACTTTACAGAAGAAATGCCATTATTTTGACATATTTAGCTATAACTGAATCAAGAATATTAAATTCCACTTAAAGCGACTGTGATTCACCAACATCTGCAGCAACTCAGAGGATCATGCCTCTCACTAATTAATTGAGAACCATACTGTAATGTGATATCAGCCATCCCTGATTAACAGAAAATAAAGTGCCTGACAATTATAGCACTTAGCACTGGAGACGGGCCTTCTCTCCTCTCACAAGTTCACGTTAAAAGGACACTGAGCGCTGCAGAGTTCTGAGGATGAGCACAGAGGGTTATACTCCAAACAAATGTTCCCCACAATGGGAACCTAAGTGTTCCCGTCTCCTGTGTTTGTTTGAGGAAACCTGTAATTTGAGTTCGCAGGACATAGTTCTGTCTGTACGCAACCTGAGCAGCGGAGCTCTGTGTCAGACATCTGCAGTCTGGACGGACTCTAAGAATGCAGCCGACATATAAACAGCAGCTCTGGTTTTATTTTTAGCGTCAAAGAAAAATGACACATTTGCAACACGTGGGCCTTTGATCCCCTCTGCCTAGTGGCAGAAGAGTTGGAGGGTCATTTTAAAGCCAGGCATGTAAGCAGTGTGTGGTTCATTCATGTTTTATTTCATTTTTATTTACAGGTTAGAAACAAGGTGGTCTCTATTCATCTCAGATACGTGCATGCACAAACTTCATGCCCAGCTCTTACTTTTGTTGTTTAGGGAAGTTTGAGTGATTCAATGTCAAGAGAGCACTGTATAACGTTTTCGCTTCCATATGAATGTCTAAAACTATTTTCAGTGCACCTGATTTCTTTTGTTACTTTGTTACTGCCACGCTCTGCTTGTTGTGTTCTCTATTGTAGGGAGAGTAGACACAGAGGCTGCTCTTTCTCTGAAATCTAATGCAATGGCAGTCAACTTGACCATTGTTATTAGCAACTCATAAATCTGTCACTAATGTTTAGGCTGGATGTTGAAATAGTTGACATGTTGTAGAAGCAAGATAAGTGGTATTTTTATATTTACTTTATTAATCCTGTAAAGATTCCGAACGTAATGAGACTTTGACATTGTGCTCAATAAAACTTGTGAAGACGAGAACATGACATTCTCAGAATAATCTATTGCGTCCCTGCTCTGTAAAAATGTGCCTAGACCATGGATTTATGCAAAACTAAAATGACAGACGCAGCAGGTGTTTCATGTATTGATCTGAGTGTGCATGAACACATTATAATGACATTAAATTTCTTAAAACCTACTGATAACTGCTCAACAGAATGTTCTGTCAACAAGCTAACAATGACACAGCACCATTTGAATCCACAGCAACCCAATGAGCTGCCCAGTAGCGAATACATGTTGTTTTAAGTTAACCCATGTACAATAGCTTGTGGTTAGCAAATGCAATGTCCTGGAAAGACTTGTAGCACTATGATACTCTTATTTGAATTCATCATCTCTCATTTTTGGGTCACTCTTTTTCCACCTTAAGCATATTGACAGGGATCCTGGACCTGTTTTGTTTCTTTGGCATGATTGAAAAAGTATGCCAATTAAATTAAAGTCTCAGGACCATCATCAGTTCAAAGGTAAGTCCCTTGCCTCCCCTATTTGCAGCTCACCAGCCCATACTGATGCACTGGTGTGTGTCCTAAGAGCAGAGTCCAGGGTCTCTAATGTGCAGTATGCAGGTGCGAGACATCCGTGCACCCAAGGGGGGAATCACTCTTTGTGTTATTACATACATTAGCCCAAAACAGCTGCATTTCATTACTTTCCTAGACCATGGATTTACATGGCACCAAGCAAGAACTTTAGAACCAAGCAGGGTTCTACACTTTCAACACAACAAACCAAAACATGAATTACACTGTTGGTAGTTGTTAACCACATAAATCACAGCAGTTGCTCTGTATCTAAGGGGCCCTGAATGATTCAGGCATCAGAGTGTGGCTTTATAATGTTTTATTACTAATGTTCAACACCAAAGATGACAAACCACTAGAATTGCTACTACTATTAAAGTCGATTTGATGCCGTGTCATGGGTCACTTAAATAGCTTTATCCATTTGTACAGTATGTTATTAACTGACACTCTCCAGGTTAAACATTCTTCCAACAAATGTAATAGCAGTGTGATGCCCAGCATTCAATCCCACAACCCTCCTGTGCCAAACAGCCTGCCCCAGCCACCACTCCGTCCTGCCAGCCTTGTGGACAGCTGCTGACCTGCACATTGACCACTCCTGGATGTTCTCCATCAGCACTGACAGTGAAAAAACATGTCCCCCAATGTCAACCCGCATCACACGCAAACTGAGGTGACCAACCTCTGCTGTGACAGTCTTTTTCCATTCCGGCCTCCAAAACACCAGGCCTGCATGAGTCCTCCCTCTTCCTGGGCCAGAACAGATGTTATATTTACTATCGAAAAATATTTCCTCACGGCATGAGGTCACCAGTGCCGTCTCTATATTTGGCTGGGCGAGGGGGGTCATTCTGTTCCTTTGATGTAATCCTCACTACAAGGCTCAGAGAATTAAGATAGGGAGGAATCCCCAGCCATGGGCTCGTACTCTGCATAGACGAGATGCAATCTGGGACGGCTCTGCCAAGACTGCACGAAGCATGCTCTGGGAATCGGAAAATGTGCTCTCAGTATCAAATTATAGCCCGCCAGCCTAATTAAATCTGTATCTGTGACTATGGAAGAGAGGCACAGTAAGAACATGACAGCCATAAAAAAAGAAAAATGATTGAATTAGAGAAAACAGATTTATTAAATTTGCTATTGCTCTCTCTCTCTCTCACACATTCTCACACACACACACACACACACACACACACACACACACACACACACACACACACACACACACACACACACACCTATCACCCTTCACCTACCTCCTTTAAAACACAAGCTTGTGGTATGGCAATCTTTCGTCGCCTAACAAAGGTCTGCCGATGTATTCCTGAGGT